TGACTACAGCAGGTCGCTAAGTGCCACTCCCTGCTCATCTCTGCCTGATCAGACTCATTCAGACACCGGGGAAGCTTCCGCACGCTGACAACGATGCTGTGATCTGCCAGCACAGCGGCCATGTGTAACAAGAGGTGACAAGAGCTTTGCTCCCTGGTTAAATGCCACTTCTGCCTGGGTGTACTCCTGTCCCAGGGATCTGCCTGAAACAGAAGCTCATGTACATACATATCATGACTCAGCATATACGCCGCTGAGTCAGCATGGGGCAGGCTGGCGCTAGACGGCTGGAGCCACGGCCTGGCCCTGCCACGCGGGTCCTCACGCACCCCAGTTTCTCATCAGTAAAATGGGCATATTGATAGCAAAAACTATAGCTTTATAGCAGCACCTGCTGTGAGAGGGAGATGGCCTAACAATTATAAAGCTTCAGAGCACGCCCAACACGCAACAGGCGCTTAATCACCCTATTCTTACATGACCCCTGCGGTCACCTGCCATGACTGCCGTGCCTCGGGGGAGCCGTGGTCAGATCGCTCCCTAGGCTCTGTGACTTCACTCTCACCCTCTCCAAACCCCAGCATGGTTCACCAGCTGAGGCAGACAGGTTCGAATGTGGCCCCAGGACCTCTGTCCCAGGTGTAGCCTCTCCCTGGGAGTGCAGGTGGGACCTGAGACTGCTTTCGATCAGCAGAATATGGCAAAGGTGACGGCTGCCATGACCGCGTGTGGCACTAGGCAAGGCTGCAGCATCCGGCTCCCGCGCTGGCTCTGAGGGGCGGGAGGCCACACTAAGGACCCCAGCTGGTAATATTAAATAGTTCTGTCAGACAGCAGAAAGACCGGGGACGCTGGGTGGTCTCAACTGCAAAGGCAGCCTTAACCTGGTGGGACCCTGCACAGAGAAACTGGCTGAGTCCCACAACAGGCACCGGACCTGGAGGCTGTGTGCTGTTCTGAGCTGCTGGGTCTGCAGGGACACTGCTGTCACACAGCAGTAGATGGCCGGCACCCTCCCTAATGCTGTTTCCGCCTGCAAATTCTATTTTCCATGAGTGGCGCTGGAGGAACTCCTATTACTAAGCAGAGGGAGACGCGTCCATCGGAAGGGCCAGGACTGGTGTGTAATCTGTGAATTAGGTTTTCTTCTTTCAGCACAAATCAGCTTCAATTTGGTACAGTGGCTCCCCTGGGCGTTCGCATTCACTGCTTTGCCGCGAAGCCTGGAGCCCAAGCCTGGCATGAGTCACTCCCACTCACCTATTCCTTCCCGCGGGCCGAGCGGCTGACTAAGGCTCCCTTTGTGTTCACGTCAGTCGCCAGGGCAGGACGCAGATGCATGCCCAAGGTGTGAGTTTCAAAAAGAAAAAGGGAAACATCCAAGCGTGTAAAGCTTCTTCTGCCTGTTGAAGGTGAAACCCCAAAGCCACCCTGGCCGTTGGCATCAGGGGCGAGTTCTAGCCGCATGGCTGGCGGAGCTCACAGGTGTGCCCAGCGGTGACGGCACGGCGGCCCACCCTGAGCACCCCACAGGAGGAGCCCTGCCCTTCACCACTCTTGGGCTGGTTCTTCTTCAGTCTTCATCGCTGATGTCCATCAAACCTAACCATGTGGACACAGTGACACCCAGCAGAAGGTTGCCAGGGACCAGGAGGAGGCCAGGGCAGTGCTTCCCTGCCCCAGCCTAGGAACTGAGGGGGTCGCCGCTGTGATTCTACATGAACAGAGTTCACTCCCCTGTACCTGGGCCGGGCCAGAGGCCCCGGCTGCTGGCAGTGGCGGCACCAGCGGCTGCTCCAGTGGCCGGGTGCTGCTGGCTGCTGTCTTCTAGGCCAGCCCGCGGTCACCGCCGCAGGCCTCAGCAGGGCCTGATGATAAGCTCTCCACAGCCGACCAGGAAGAGCCACTTTCCTGGATGAGGGGAGGAAACATGTTTCTTGCAAACGGGCTGTGCACTGTGGCAGGGCTCCTCTGCACTGCGCTTCCTCCTCTCTCAAGGGCCCCATCGAAATGGGGCTGGCGGTAACAGCAGACCCAGGTAAGGCAGGTGAGATTTTCTCTTACAGCAAGACACTGTGAGGGAGGGGGCCGGGATCCCCTTCAGGTTGGGGGCACCACAGGCAGGCGGCTCACGGCTGTCAGGCCCTCTTCTGGGTGGCCTATGTCTGACAACCAATGCAGAATGCAGGTGAGACTACTCACCTCCCATCCCATCCTCAGAGCTCCCCAGGGCTGGCAGAGGTGAGCCTGACTTCTCTCTGCCCACCCCTCCACTGCTGACCCAGGGCTGGTCCACTCACGAGCAGTGTCGTGACACCAGCCTCCGTCTCCGTTTGCTTCCCAAAGAGCCCGCCCCACAACAACCAGGAGGATGCACCCAAAAGGGAAGCGGGAGGACGTAACGCCGCAGGCCACGTATGGTGGGATGATGGACCACGCCGGCTGGAACACTCAAGGCGCACACTAGCCCAAGCAGAGCCTCTGACACATTCAGGAAGGTCAGAACCAGGAGGAGAAAAATCCGAGTGTCCACAGTGACCGTCAGGAAGAGGGGCTGCAGGGCACCCATGTGATGCTGTCCCCAGGTTCTCTGGGCCTCTGCGGATTGCGACATCACCTCATGATTCTCTAGCACAACAAACAAGCACAGGTGAGGGCTGGCTCCGTGAGGCTCCAGGAAGCGGAGTCTGCAGAACAGCCAGCCTTTTTCTCGGGCAGGGAAGGGCAGCCCCAGCAGGACTGGGAGAGGCTGCAGCTAGGCCTAGACGAGGACCTTCTGTAAAGCAGGACTGACACAAATGCCAGCACTCAGAAAGCTTCTGAGGGGCCGGTACTAGAAAGCAGTCTCTAGATGGAGAGGGGGGATGTGGCTGCCCCACGCGGGCCTCACCACCCAGCCTCTAGATGGAGAGGGGGGATGTGGCTGCCCCACGCGGGCCTCACCACCCAGCCTCTAGATGGAGAGGGGGGATGTGGCTGCCCCACGC